GGAGGCCCTTCTTCAAAAGACAAGGGAACCATTTGCAACAGAAATGGAGCCATTAGAAACCAAGTACAAAGATCACTGGTCTTATAATCTCATTAGATACCCTACAAACAGCTACCCTAAATATCTATTATCACCAGGAACTTCTCTTCCAAAAGTTTTCTGAAGAACTTTGACACAGTTCAAGAATCTAGACTGGCAACTGGGTGCTGGTGGCTCATACTGTAATCCTTGCTACTCAGGAGGCTGAGATCTGAGGATAGAGGTTCAAAGCCAGCCCAGGTAGTAAACTCCATGAGATTCCAATAAACTACTCAGAAAAAAACAGAAGTGGTGCTGTGGCTCAAGTAGTACAGTGCTAGCCTTGAGCACAAAGAAGCTCAGAGATAGTGCCTAGGCTCTGAGTTCAAGCCCCAGAACCAGCACACACACACACACACACACACACACACACACACACACACACACACACACACACAGAATCTAGACTGGCCTTGAAATGCTGCTCACAGGGCCACATATCTACCAACGAGTCAGACAGAGTACTTCTGTGTAATTTGTAATGACATAATTGAAACCAGGTTCACATTTATTTAAGTAGCATAGTTTCGATGGAATGAAAATATTTTAGTTAGTGGCACCACACATTTGAGCAAAATTTACAGAGGTCTCCTTTGCTCCATGGACCCCCTCACTTAGTATAAGAACGCAGATTTAGAAATAAAGCACGTGGGACAGGGAAGGGAGTGTTAAATTTCAATTCTACACAATGGCACCTTTAACAAATCTGCCAGCCAGTCAAAAACTAAACAGGGTGACTTGAAAAAAAAATCTTCACTACTGCCAGTTAATAGTCACAAGACTCCAGGGGAACAGAATCTTATGATGGCTCAGTATTTAAAATGCTATCCCAAAACACAGGGTTTAGGGTCCCAAGGGATGTTGAGAGCTTTTGCTATCATGGTGGTGAGCCTAGAAATTTTAAATTGGGAAAGAAGTCATTAGGAAAACAAAAATGAAACACACATAAATATATAAATGAGCACTTGGTGGTCTTGAGTCTGAAGCTACTTGTTTTGGTATATTCTTTCTTTCCCAGCACAAAAATCTTGAACATTAAAAAAAAAAGTGTATATGTGCTGGTACTAACACAGGGCCTTGTGCTCTTGTTTGACTTTTTAGCTCAAGGTTGCCACTCTGCCACTTGAGCTTTTTTGTTGTTTTTGTTTTGTTTGACCACTTCCAGTTTTTGTGTGTTTGTTTTGCTGGTTTATTAGCGATAAGACTCTCATGTACTTTTCTGCCCTGGCTGGCTTCAGACCATGATCCTAAAATCTTAGCCTCCTGACTAGTAGATTACAGGCATGAGCTACTGACTCCTAGAATTCAGGCTACTGAAATAATGGAGTTTATATTTACAACTTTGATGGTAAAATCCTAACTCTAACTGTGGAGAAACAATCTCAGCAGTGAACTGAAGTCAACTCTAAATGAAAAGCTGGTATTTCCATTACCCACCCTCCCAGGACTTATAGGAGTTTATAGAATTTGATCATTAAACAAATGCTGTAGGCTGAAAACCTAGTCTGTGTCAATCTGGGACATGAATGAGTTTGCCAAGCTCTGAAGTTTGTTTGTTCTTCTCTTTGATCCTTTTTGAGAATGCATTAATATTAATGCTGCACATGAAACGGAGGCAAACAACATTCGCAACACCTGGCGATGGCCCTCCTCTAGCAACACTGGCTTTTTTCAGAAGAAATTTATGATGTCTATAAACTCACCTTCAAGGTGCTTAGGGCTGAAAATAAAGAACTCTTTTTTTTTTTTTTAAAACTCAGACTTTAACCTAACCCTTGGGTATTCATTATTCCATCAAAAATATTTGGATCTTTAAATTGGAACCTTAACTTTGTTAGAAATAAGCTTCACATTGGAATTTAACTTTGTAAAAATAAAATTTATGGTTGTTGACTTCCATTCAGTTGGCGCTTATTTGTGCAAAGGAGTTCTTTCACGAGGAAGCTTAAGTGATGAGGGAAGGAAAGAGGGAACGGAAGGCATTCCTCTGATTCTGACTTGTTCAAGTTACAGTGCAGTAAGGAATAACAGTAGAGGACACATAAGACATGGTCCTTGTCAGGGACTTGGGGATGATGTTTAGGAAATGAGGTTTAGAGAGGCAGTTCCAACACCACAAGACTGAGAGGGAAGAGCAGACAGGAAGAGGGAGGCTAAGCGGTCAGCCCTCACAGCACTGAGCCAGCTTCCTCCCTCCACTCCTGGGAAATAAAGATACTTTCAGGATATCAATACAGATCCCGCCTGAGCAAGTGGGTATTTTGAACCCTTGTCCACAGATGAGGTATCAAGGCTCCTCAGACGTGTGTGTGGGTGTGTGCGTGGACATATGTGTTTGTGTTATATCCCTATATCTGTTCTATCTACATTTCATTAAAGAACATATACAAAATTGATACATTAGAGAAGGAAATGTTTTTTGAACCTTTCAAATTGTATTGCTTTTAGTGTTGTAGAAAATCTTCTTGTGTATGAAAGTAGGAATGCCTAGCCATGCTGAGTCAGAAGGGACCATGAATTTCATTTCCTGAGCTGGACATTACCAGTCCTCTTCCCTGTATCCCTCAGCATCTAAACTACTTGAGATAAGGGGCAAGTTCTATATTTATAAACTCAGATTTCAAAAATGCATTAAGTTTTAATACTGATGGGGAATTCATGTTTGAAATGGTCTTCTAAAAATTTGAATAAGATTTATGGTTATGTAATCTGTGGTATGGTCTTAGTTGTCTTAGTCAGATTTTGGTCAAGAAGTAGTATGAAGTATCTTGTCAACAATCTGCGCTACACGTGAACTTGGCCAAACATAATAATTGTTCCTTATCACTGTATTGAAATCAAAATGACCTTATCAATATCATGGATTTTGTTTGTTTGTTTGTTTTGTTTTGTGCCAGTACTGGGGTTTAAACTCATGGCCCCACCCCATGCTGAGTGAGATTCAACCATTCTGTTAAATGGAGTTGCTCTAACACTTGAGCCACAGATTCACTTTTGGACTTTTTACTAGTTAATTGGCAATAAGAGTCTCATGGACTTTCTTGTCTAGGATGACTTCAAAACTGTGATCCTCACATCCTCGTGAATAGTTTAGGATTACCAGAGTAGGCTGCCAGTACTGGCATAAATACCATGTTTTATCAAAATTGCAGCAGCAGGATAATGTTTGGCTGTTACCAAACACAGCCACATTTTAACAATTGAATATTATTTAGTCATACAGAGGAATGCAGTTGGCATACATCCCTCATGAATGTTAAAAAAATTATGCCACGTAAAAGAAGTCAGACACAAATGAATACACACTGCATCTATGTAGACGAAATATCCAGAATAGCAATGTCTAACAGAGTTGGAAAGTGTAATAGTGGCTTTTAGGTCTGGCTGGGAGTAACTAGTATTTATAATGCAGGCTTCCTAGAAGGTGTACACTGGGTCTGAAATGCATGTTCTGGATGACTGCACAGGCTGTCTAACACCTAATTGTAAACTTTAAGTAGGCCCATTTTATGGTATGTGAATTATATATCAATTTAAAGAACAAGTCACACTATAAATTATAAATCTTTAATAAAAATACTTTGTCAGGCATAGTTACCAAAAGAATTATGAACTCAATAAAATGACAAAAATGGATATTAACTTCAGCTCTGTAGATGTCTGAAAGTTAGCAGTGAGGGAGGTGGGATAATGAGTAATTTATGAATATGAAATTCATATTCCACTAAAGAATCCCTCACTTTATTTAAGCAAGACTCTTTGGTCCATGAGGAATTTTGATCATTTTACTTTATAGAAAGTGTATTTACTTCTTATTGCTTTTACTTGTGCTTATGAAAGTTCAGGAAATTTTCATCCCACAAATAGGCTCCTCAAAGAAAAACTGACAAGTTAAAACTGTTATTACAGTGTATTTCAAACACCCCAGGGGTTCTTTAGTTTTAACTGAAAACATATGGATTGTATTTGGTCTACTTGAAATGTTTCTGTTTTGTCAAGTGACAATCAGACAGCCTACAAAAATGGGCCATGATTTATTTTTGAAAGGCAATATCTAGACAAAACATAAATATATAGAATTTTTCAGATCATAAATTCAAAATAAAATGGATATAAGATACCCACTTCCCTCTGAATACCAAAAAGAATTCTATTTGTAAAAGAACTTCTATGTACTATGCCTTTTTTTTTTTTTTTTGCATGACGACATAGGAAATGCAGCTGATGCCAGAAGCTCAGATTTACTATTCTAGTTACTCTGGAGGCTGAGAACTGAGACTCAAGATTCAAAGTCAGTCTAGGCAGATAAATGCATAGACTCTAATCTCATTTAACCAGCAAAAAGCCAAAAGTGAAGGTGTGGCTCAAGTGGTAAAGGCCAACCTTGAGCAAAAATACTGATTGAGAGTGCAAGTTTTGGCTCCACAACCAGCACATAAACACACACACACACACACACACACACATGCACACACACAAACACACACACACACACACACACACACTGCATAATGTTACATTATGTTTTATACCAGGGATGATGTTATGGTCATACATTTGTGATGTAATTAATATAGCATTACTATACATTTGTCTTCTTGTTAAACATTGTTTTTTTTTTTAATGTAAGTTCCAAGGACTGTTTGATAATCTTGACTTCCAGATAGGTCTGATAAGAATATTTTACTAACATTTAGGAACCCAATATCCAACGCATGTTGGAAATTCATTACCTAAGCTGCTCTCATGCCCGAATTTTCTATGGCAAATCTTCTTGATACATATTTATGTTGTGCTGAATTGACAATCACCAGAATTCACCATGCATTTTATAATATACATCACAGATTCTTGTGAGTGAGATGGCCCAGAGCTTTATCAGTTACCTGCAGAGCAAGATGAGCAGAGGTTGTGATACTCACAGTTGTAGGCAGGTGCAAGGCGGTGCTGGGCTTCAAGGCTGGCCAGTGTAATGTGGAAAATGATGTGCAGCAGCAGGAAAGAGAGGCTGGTAAAGCACAGAGACTTCAGCAACCGTCCTGTGTGTCCTGGGGAAGAAGGACAGAGAGTGAAGGAGGTGCCAGTCACCCCTACCCACACTTCCTCCTCTTCAGATCCAACACAGAACATACTTCTCCATCTCTTAGTGTATGGACCCAGTGAAACAGACAGGCAATGTTATTCATACCTTACCTATTACTCTATATCTGTAAGCCTTGCATTTATTAAAAGTCCACTGTAACATTACATGCAACACATCATTACTGTTATTACATGACATGTTATTGAAGGACCACAGAAAGAACCTGATCCAAAAATTTCATAAGAAAATGCTACCAATTTTGAAGGAACAGTTAACATCCAACTTATAAAAGTAATTCTAGATTGTAGAAAAAGGAAGTGGCCTAAAACATGTTATGAAGTTAGGATAGTTTTGATTATAAAATTAAATGAACCTAGAAGAGAAAACTATAGGAAAATCTTACTCATGAACATAGACCATTAAAAAACCGGCTAGCCAACTGAAATAACATAGTAAAGTTAAAATATATCATAATTACAATAAAGTTTATTGCAGAAAACAAGTATGGTTGACATTCATAAATCTGTAAGTGAAATTCATACACTAACAGGCTGATAGACAATTTTCTCAATGGGTACAAAAGAAACATTTCATGAAGTTAAAAATATTTATAAGCTTGATTTAGTGGCTCAAATCTATAGCTATAGATATTCATGAAGCTGAGATCAGAGGATCTCTGTTTCAGGCCAACCTGGGCCAAAAAAAAAGTCAGAGACATTCCATCTCAATAGAAGATTTCCTCTGAAATCAGGTGTTGTTGGCATTCTATTCAACATGGTACAGAAAACCTTAGCAAAAGAAATTAGGTTTGGAAAAAATTCAAAGAAGAAGTTAAACTGTATATGGTGTTCAGATGACATAATCTTATATAGAGGAGCCCTTAATATTCCAATAAAAAAGATACAAAAACCTAAAACTAATGACATCAATAAAGGTGCAGGATACAAAAATCAATATAGGAAAAAAAAAACTGAACACTGAAAAAGCAAGAAGGACTAAGGGCAAAAAAGAAAAGAATCAATATGTTTCTATACACTGACTGGACTCTCTGTTAAAAAAATTAAACCCATTTGCAAAGCAAGATTTAATTAGCTACTTTTAGTATTGTTGTGCCAGGATAGGGAAGGCATGACAAAACAGAGCAACCAAATTAAGTAAGCCAGGAAGCAGAATAAAGGTAAGAATACAGAAGAGACTAGGGGAAAATATAGCCCCTAAGGGCATGCCCAATCTCCTACATGGACCACCATCATATTAAGACTATCCATTCATTATGTCAAAGCCCTCAGGATCTAATACTCTCTGGAAACACCATCACAGCATACCCTGGTTACAGATATATGCTTTACTAATCTTCCAGGCATCTCTCAATCTGATTAAGTTGACAAGTTAGATAACTATCATATAAAGTGGCTAAATCTGGATCTTCTGTCATATATGATTGTGTGTGAAGGCTATTTTTTCAGATTTTCTTCTGGTAGCATTTTCACAGAGATTTCTTTGTGTTCTAGAGTGTGGAGAGAATGGAGGGACTACACGAGAACTGCATGTTTATTGTGACTGCGACTTCTGCTTTCACCAGAAATCACATACAGGTGAATGTTTCATGTTTTCAGATTTCTTCTTAGTACACATCCCATCCTGGATATTATAGTTGACTTTTAAAGTTTCCCACCGAGGTCACCTCTGAGTGCAATAATTTCCCCAGAAACTTCTTCTTAGTGGTCCTACTAAAATTTTAGGACTTTGCTGTTTCTTTCAGTGGTGATCTTTTACTCAAGGTAGCGATGAAATTTTGTGCATTTTACTTCTCCTTATAGAATGAGCTCTGAATTAAATGCAATAAAGTCAAGTGCTTTGTATCAGTCTTTCAGGAAGTCCCCAAACTTGACAGTGCACACACCATTCTGCTCTGTTCTCCTAGGAACCAGGAACAAATATCAGAAACTGGAGATATGGGCTGTTGTCTTTAAATCCTCTGACAGTGGGAAGGTAGGCAACAAGGAAAGACAAATAAAAATGCCCACTCTCCTGCCATCTCCAACTTGCCTGTTTCCTCTGATCTTTGTAAATTTGTGACTGGTTTTAATAGTTCTAAAAAATACTTGAATCTGGTTGTTTTTATTTGACTTTTGGATGTTTCTGCAAAGAAGCAGCCTATGGAGATGTGTATTGAGCCATCTTCACTAACATAAAATTTGCTTTCATTAAGATTTTCAAGTTCGATATGTGTCTTTTATTATACACATATCTACATATAGTGTCTGTGTATGAATATATGTAATATCAAAGTCATTGAATAGAAGATAATTTTCACTTGAGTAAATAAAGCAGAACACAATCACACAGAAAGCTAACTCGAAGTAGAGCAGTAACACCATAGGCCTTTAGAAGTGATCCACTCCCATACCTTCCCATTAACTTATAAAACTGGCACAATTAATTCAAGTAAAAAGCCACCAATTATATATTCTTCCATACATTTTTTCCTCTCACTCCCTTTCTTGTTTGACATCTGCCCTGAGGACAGTCCCAGATGCCAGGCTATACTATGGTGCTCTCTTGAAGGCATCTAACTACCTCCCTCACCTCACACATGCAAGCTTTTCCTTCTGACAAAATGAAATGGGAGAGAAATCCAAAGAATTGAAGAATGAACAGGATCAATAATTCTCAATATGGACACAACCTGTATCCCCCATAAGCTATACATTATTTTTTTTTATTTTTCATTTAATTTAATATTTTTTTTTGTGAACATACTGTACAGAGGGGTTACAATTACATGGGCAGGATAATGCGTACATTTCTTATCAAGCATTGCAGCCTCTTCCTTTGTTTACCCTTCACATCCCTTCCCAGCCTGCCCCCCAAACCCCCCAATCCTCCTCCCTCCCCCCCCCCCCCCACCAACGTTGTAAAGCTTGTTTTCGACATGGCAACTTGTACTTCTCATTGTTGCAACAGGTCCACCTGTATCCTTAAACGACTTGTTTTTCCCCATCTCCTCCACAAGTTATACTGACATCAAATATAGTGAAAGCAGGGGTTATACTGTAGGGGAGGGACATACAAAGCAACAAAGAGATAATCTTATAAATGCGTTAGAAACAAATGCATGGAAGAAAAAAAACATTAGAGTACATATCTAAGGGTTCATTTTCCTAACATCACATTATCTGACCTTTTCTGTTTGACTCATACATATACTAGATATTGCAAATAAGGGAAACCATGGGACCTATGTTTCTTTGGGCCTGGCTTACTTCACTTAATATAATTTTTTTCCAAGTTTTTCCATTTCCTAACAAATACGGAAATGTCATTCTTTCTGATGGAGGCATAGAATTCCATTGTGTCTATATACCACATTTTCTTGATCCATTCATCTACTGAGGGGCACCTGGGTTGGTTCCATATCTTAGTTATGGTAAATAATGCTGCAATAAATATAGTTGTGCTGGTAGCTTTAGTGTGGTCTTGTTTGTAAACATTTGGGTAAATGCCCAAAAGTGGGATTGCTGGGTCATAGGGGAGCTCTATGTGAAGTCTTTTGAGGAGCTTCCATACTGCTTTCCAAAGTGGTTGAACAAGTTTACTTTCCCACCAACAATGCAGTAAGGTTCCCTTCTGTCCACATCCCCTCCAGCATCTGTTGTTGTTAGAGTTCTTGATTATAGCCATTCTAACTGGGGTGAGGTGGTATCTCAATGTTGTTTTGATTTGCATTTCTTTTATGGCTAGGGATGTTGAGCATTTCTTCATGTGTCTATTGGCCATCCTTCTTTCTTCTTCAGCGAATTTTCGCTTTAAGTCTTTAGCCCCCTTATTTATTGAGCAGTTGTTTCTTTGAGGATTTGTTGTTGGGGGATTTAATTTTTTGAGTTCCAAGTATATTTTAGATATGAGACCCTTGTCCGTTGTATGGCTAATGAAGATCTTCTCCCAATCCGTGGGCTTTCTATTGATCTTGCTAGCTATGTCATTTGCCATGCAGAAGCTCTGCAACTTTATGCAATCCCATTTGTCCAACCTTTCTTTGATTTGTTGTGTTTCCGGGTCTCTATTCAGAAAATTTCGGCCTGAGCCAAGGAGACCTAGGGTTTCTCCTATTCCATCCTGTAATGTTTTCAGAGTGTCTGCTTTGACTTCGAGGGCTTTGATCCTTTTGGAGTTGATTCTGGTGCAGGGTGATATATAAGGATCTAGCTTTAGTTTTCTACAAGTAGTTAACCAATTTTGCCAGCACCATTTACTGAAGAGGCTGTCTTTCTTCCATTCTATTGTTTTAGCTCCCTTATCGAAGATTAGATGGCTATAGGTCTGTAGGTTCATTTCTGGGTTTTCAATTCTATTCCATTGGTTCTGAGGTCTGTTCTTATGCCAATACCAAGCTGTTTTGATTACTATGGCTTTATAGTAGAGTTTGAAATTTGGTATTGATATTCCTCCAGCAGTGTTCTTGCCATTGAGGAGCATTTTTGCTATTCGGGGTCTTTTATTGTTCCATATGAATTTTTGGATTGCCTCTTCTATTTCCTTGAAGAATGAGTTTGGAATTTTGATAGGTATTGCATTGAATTTGTAGATAGCCTTGGGAAGTATTGCCATTTTCACGATGTTAATCTTTCCAATCCAGGAGCATGGGAGGTTTTGCCATTTTCTAAGTTCTGTTTTGATTTACTTTTTCAAGATTTTAAAGTTTTCATCATAGAGGTCTTTCACTTCTTTGGTTAAGTTAATTCCTAGGTATTTTATTTTTTGTGGGGCTATTACAAATGGAGTTGCTTTCCTAATTTCAGCCACACTTTTCTCATTGTTGGCATACAGAAAAGCCATTGATTTTGGGGGGTTAATTTTATACCCTGCTACTTTGCCAAAGTTTTGAATCAACTTGAGTAATTTGGGAGTGGAGTCTATGGGATTCTTTAAATAGAAGATCATGTCGTTTGCAAAGAGGGAGAGTTTTATTTCTTCTTTTCCTATTTGGATCCCCTTTATGTCTGCATCTTGTCTTATTGCTGTAGCTAGGCATTCTAATACTAGATTGAAGAGAACTGGAGAGAGTGGGCATCCTTGTCTTGTTCCTGAGTTAAGAGGAAATAGCTTTAGTTTTTCACCATTAAGTATAATGCTGGCTGTAGGTTTGTCATATACAGCCTTTATTGTATTGAGGAATGTTCCATGAATTCCTAATT